ATTTTCAGCAGAAAATTGCTCAAACTTAGTCAGAATCATCTTGGGTAAATGAGAGTTTTACTTTGTAAAATTGGGATTCCTGCCCCATCCCCAGGGACTAGGGCAGGGCCCCAAAGGGAACATTTACCAATATTTTCAGTTCTTATCCATTGATGACATGACAAGTATTGTATTTCACTTAGTTTACATGCTGATTTCCACATCACATCTAAACAATAAAATAAAGCTACCAGTACCTATGATATAACTCAGGTGACCGCTAAGGCCCTTGGGCCTCTTGTTAGTTTTGCTTCTGATAAATCATATCGTAATGATGGTATTTGTCTGAGTCAATTAAGATCGAAGTGTGCATGAAGCGGGACTTCAATAAAAGCATCGAGTTAACAAATAATAATAATAATAATAATCATTATTCAGGTAAAAAGGCAAATAATACATGTATATCACATTTTGCAGATTGGACATAAATATATATATTATCACGGGTGTTATTTATGCCATAAAACTAGTAATCAGTCAGGTGTTAAATCTGGATTGGATTAGATTAATTTAGGCCTTTACCTGGGATGACCCTTTAAGCGACATTGTGGCTTAATTCCAATGAGGTCCCTTTTATAATCATTCCAAGTATCAGAAAAGCTGGTCAACTATCTTTTGATACTTCATGTAACTAATCAAAACTAACACACACTCATTGTAATATGATGAATAATTCTGACTTACAAAATATGGATTAGTCCAGTGTAGCACATAGTATATAGATTTTGGTATGCATTTGATATCACATATTTTTGTGCGATTCTTTTTATTCCAAACTAAATCTGCACTTACCATTGTTTTTTTATTAACTTTTTCACAATAACATGAACTCCTTATTAATTCACACCTTTTCTACTTAATTATTAAAATATGCAATTAACTTAAATGAAATCACCAAGTGGTTTTGCTTTTAATGTGAACACACAACTTACTTACAATATTCATTTAATTTTGCTATGGTCACCAAATGTGAGACAGTGTTACTGATGTCATGCATGTCACTATTTTAGTTTAACAGCTTCAAAACGACTGGATGCTAAGTCTGTCAGGGTGCAGCGCAAGCCACTGCTGTCGACAGCATCCGAAAAAACATCATCATCAGACTCCTCATCTTCATCTGAGGAGGAGGGAGAAAAAGAGGACGATGAGGAGGAGCACAATGATAAGAAGGCTGTCGAGGCAGCAATGCAAAAATATGCTGAAGATGAGGAAAGTAAGGAGGAATCATTTAAAGCGACCTCAAATATAAAGTCTGGTTGATAAACAGCAGAGACACACTTAGACCTCAAATATAAAGTCTGGTTGATAAACAGCAGAGATACACTTAGCATATAACATTACACGGAAATTGTCTAATGCCCTACATGATTTCAAAAACAAAATCTCCCTGTGATTTGTTACAAAAGAAACAAACGGAAAGAGTGTTGCTGATTTCCTTTTTACAATATTTCCATCTGTAGTGTATTTGGCTAGGATGTACATGGAAATGATGGTAGTGGTAAAAATACTACTGTTACACTCTCTCTATCATTTCTATTTTTGTTTCTATCAGAGTACACAATGTGAACAAAAGAAACAAGGTTACAAAAGAAACAAGCGGAAACAGTGTTGCTAATTTTCCTTTCTTTCAAATATTTGGCTGGAATTTTACTATATTTTCAATTTTGCTCAACATAGATAATAATTATATTGATATAGATTGTAATGGAAAAAAGAAAGTTTGCTGTTTTTCCTTGGAAAATTATCTTTTCTGAATCTGTTTTTTATTTGGTACCATAAAATAACTTCGGCACCCGTCCAACACTAGTCAATGTTGAAATGATATTGACTCGTCATGTTGGTTATAATTTTGTAATTAATACTTGTATCATTTTTCAATCGCACCTTATTGTACCATGTGCTGCCTCTACAGACACTATAAAATTACTTCCTTTGTCTGCAGGCTCAAGCTCTAGTTCTGAAGAAGAGGAAGAAGAAACAAAACAAAAAGTAAGCTTTTATGTTCACTTAACTAATTTTTTAATGTTAAAGTAAAAAAAAAAAAAAAACAGAAAAAGTAACGTTTTTTAATTATGAAAAGGGAATGACTGAACTTTGTTTTCCGCATGTACAAAGTACAATGAGCTTGTCCAACTTTGCTCAACATAAATAAACCCTCAAAACTTAATGTCAGCTTTTTCCTAATTCCCTGAAAAATAATGTGCAATTATGATTTAGCACATGAAAAGTGCCACAATAAGATGACACTTTTATGTAGAAGTTCTCTCACTGAATCTCACTGAATGTAGATGCCCTTTTTTAGTACGATACACTTCTTTATATTCCAGCACGTACGTGCCTTAGTGACAGTGGATGAGGGGAGCAAAGAATCCTCATCATCCTCATCTTCGTCTTCGTCTAGTTCTGATGAAGAAGAGAAGTAAGTGTTTTACCCATTAATTCTACTCGAGACACAAGACAATAAATATTTGCAGGAAGATCAGTTGAGTTAACTGGTCAAATTATATTATAGAGAAGTTTAGTCGACACCAATTAAATCTCTTAATTTGAAACCATCAACATCTTCTTAGTGAGTGAGTGGTAATGTGTTGTAGCAAGTCTTCATCTTTATCTGTTCAGAAGAGAGTTAAATATGACTGCATCAGAGGTTATGAAAGCGTGATTAGCAATCATCTATAAATAGGTATGTGACACATGGTAACCCCTGGTATAAATGACAATGCCTTACCTGCACAAGCAGGACTGGACAAATATCCAAATCTCACAAAATATTGACGATTGAGTCCTGGACTGGTTGCTTACTTCATAGATAATCATAGAATATTTTGTAATAGATTACAATAAATGTTCTAGTTTGAAACATTTGATAAAACATTTGATATAAATTTCAGGTCCCCTCCTCTTCCCACAACCTCCCCGTTCCCATCTGGACGTGTCAACACGTACGAGAGCCCAGGACTACACTACGGACAGATCGACTTTGAAAACAAACAGAAAGGTGAGGTAGCTTCTACCACAAGCAGGGGAGACAACCCCAACTATTTAAGTGGGCAGTCTGACCTCTCTAAAGAAGATGACGATCAAGAAGATGAAAGTGATGATGAATTTGATTTCTCGAATTCAGGAAATTATGAAAATATTCATGAATTAAGGACCCATGGGACCTTTGTAACTGCCCCACCACCTAGCCACAAAGGTATCTGATATCTTAAAAGCTGGATTTTGCTTTTTTTTGTTGATATTTGTAGGATATAGCTTTAGCTAATATATTTGTAGACCTCAGGAGGGAGAAATATAAACCACTCGCTGTGTAAACAGACTCATTTTCCTGTGTAATCCACTGTAACACAAGCCATTTTCTCTGTATATACCTTCACTGACAGAACACAATATGACCCAGGAACAAACAACTATGTACTGGAATAGTTTTGACTATTTTGGAAATTTATTTAATGGGATTTAAAATGTGTCAAATTTGCAAACTTTGCAAAATCAATTGGTTAATAAATGTTTACCAAAATCCTGAAAGGAGATTTCTTTTCAAAACATTGTTCAATCAAAGAAAAAATGTTCAGAGCTGAAGAAAACAGTCAAGGTAAATTAATCTTGCATAGAGTCAAGGATGTTATCTTTTTTATAACTGAACATTTATTAATTTCCTAAACTAGACATTATAGGAATGAAAACTAATGGAGGAAGAGAATCAGTGACTGTTATAGGTAGACAATGTTATAGGCAGCCGGTGATAAGATCGTTGTCATTGACAAGATTAGATTTTAAAAATGAAGGAGGATGAATTAGACCTCGGGTAGTTATATAATACTGTTGGTCAAATCTCTGACAGAAGGGTGAATTAAACACTCACAAAGTTTCTTATGACCAAAGGATAGTAAATAAATGTTGTAATAATGTAAGGGATTACAATGTTCGTTGTGAGCTAGGTCATAGATAGGGAGGGACCGCACACTGGTGACTAGGAAAGGAATAAAATACTCCAGAATAGGGTAAAATAACCCGGAAAGGGGTAAAATACAAAGCTAGTAGTTAAATAACCCTATCCAGGTTATTTTACCCTCCTGATGAGTTAAAGTACTCCTATCAAAGTTATTTTACCCCCATGACAAGTTAAAGTACTCCTATTCAAGTTATTTTATCCCCCTCACGAGGTAAAGTACTCCTATCTGGGTTATTTTACCCCCCTGACGAGTTATTACCCATAGATTATTTCCCCCCCCCCCCTGACGAGTTAAAGTACTCCTAGATTATTATTTTACCCCCCGAGGAGTTAAAGTACTCCTATCCGAGTTATTTTACCCCCATGACGAGTTAAAGAACTCGTAGATTATTATTTTACCCCCCTGACAAGTTAAGTTAAAGTAGTCCTTAATTTTTGTTTTACCCACCTGACGAGTTAAAGTACTCCTAGATTATTATTTTACCCCCTGAGGAGTTAAAGTACTCCTATCCGAGTTATTTTACCCCCATGACGAGTTAAAGAACTCCTAGATTATTATTTTACCCCCCTGACGAAAGAAAGTACTTCTGGATTATTGTCAGTGGCTGAGTGGTTAAGGGGTCTGACTGTCTAGCCACCCACCAATGTGTCGCGGGTTCAAGGTCTACCTGGGATAGTCACCATGTACTGGCCACAGGTCGGTGGTTTTTCTCCGGGTACTCCGGCTCCACCACCAAAACCTGGCACGTCCTTAAATGACCATAACTGTAAATATCATAGGACATAAAACACAAACAAACCAAACCAACCACAGTCAGGGTATCATTAGGTCACATTAAACTTACTGTAACCTTAAGTTATAGTAATCTCTATGAAATGGTAATTCTCCACTATTCTCACTGAATGAATGCTACTTATTTTCTTTCTATACATAGCTATGATATAGACTGAATACCCTACATACTTATATATATATATATATATATATATATCAGCCTGTGTTTATGAGCGTATTTACTCTCTCCTAAGGTCTGTTACTTAGCTAGTCAATATAACTTGCATGGGTACAAATTTATTTCCAACTCTTGGCTATAAATCTTTCATACCTCTACAGTGCATTTAAAATGGTGACTGGTGATGTTTAAACTAACAATGTACAGTGTATTTCTCTCTACTGATAAGTACGGTGAAACCTGTCTAATCCATTCAATGCAGACATATAAACACCCAAAATGAAACGATTTTAAATTAACACAGTTTGAGTTGCTATATATACAAGAGAATGAAGCTGAAGATATGGATTATACAGGTTTCTGAATCGTCAAGGACTGGTTATGACTGTTTTCCACTTAATGTATACTTTATATAATCCACTATATAATTGTAGATAGTTACTTTTGTGTCGTGCTTATCAGTTTATGTCCATGACATGATTCCTCACCAGTTCTATGGTGCTTGTGTCTCTTCTTTAACAAAATTCTGCCTATCCTTTAAAAACTGCTAATGTGCGAAACAAAAACAACGTAAACTTTACATACTTATAACAGCTTTGAATTAAAAAATAGTTCGGAAGCAGATTAAAAACTGTTTCAAAAAAGATATTTTCTAAAATTTTAATCACTAACTACATTTGTATATGTATAACAAAATATTAGTGGAGCATTCTCAGTAGTTATTAATTTTGTTATGAGATTCAATCTGATACAGATCATCTGCTACCGGGCTGGTATAGTTTTGTACTTCGTAGTACAGAGTTAACAGAGAACAGTAGCAGAGGATTATAATGTTTTTAACTGAGAATGAAATGGAGGGCAGAATCTATGTCAGTTTTGTTCTGGCATAGCGTATACATGTATAAATATTCATGGAAGCACACCTTTTTCATTCTATCTTTAAGTCGTGAATCTCACCTTTTTGACATTATGTCTGCTTTTTTCTCTCGTTTTTTTTAATTCTAATGTCACAATAGGTGTTATAACATGAAAGTCATGTGATAAACTATTTCATCATCAATATTATGTAAAATTAGTCCTAACACCGAACATATCTTAATAGTGATATCGATACAGTTAACACAGATATTGTACAATTATCGAAAAAAAACAGTTACAAGTTGTAAAATTGTAAACAAACATTGTATATTAAAAAATACAAGATTTTTTTTAGAAGAAATAGGGTTATGCATTCATTATTCAATTGATACAAAATCTGTTGACATTGTAGAAGTCTGGAATTTGTGACATGTTAAATCTTGAATTCTTAATCAAGCGTTATTTAATAAATTAAACAGATACTGGTCCTAAGGATGCAGAGCGAGGTATGACACTAGTGTTATGGTTTTGTTTGAATATCAAGTTGTGCATTGCTTTCTCTAATATCTTAGACTGGCTCGCCAACGGTCAAAACAATCTTGCTTTCGATTCTGATTTCTATATAGATATAGTACTTGTAATAGAGTTATTTTCTACTGCTTTTCTGTAAAGAAAATGCAGATAGGTTTTCTATTGAGGGAATTTAGTTAAAAAGCCGAAATAAATGAAATATGAACTAATAATTTTATCAGATATTCCGTCTTTGCGTATTGCAGAGTTATCTTCTCTTGTGAGCAGGTATTGATTATTACGTCATTGGTTTGTGTGAGAAAATTACGTCGTTTTCTCAAAGATTGATGACATTACTCTCACAAACTAATGACGTAACAATCAATACCTGCTCCCAAGAGCAGATAATTCTGCAATACGCAAAGACGGATTACAGTACTTTGCATGAGAATACATTAAAACTATCAAAATAAACTCCCTCTGCAGGATTGCATTGTTTGCCACCTTGCTTGTAGCTAACAACCCTTCTTCCCTTTGTCTTGGATTTATTCCCAGATCCATTTACAAAGACAAATGGTGATACATAGTACAACATGGTTTTACTGTGCATTGTTTATAATTCATCCATTATAAAGGATCATAGGAGTAGTGAATATCAATCAATTACAGTATCCGGAGATGAGGTAGTAATAGTTATAAGAAAATGACATAAAAGGATACATTTCTGAATGTTTATATACTGGTATAGCATACATTATATTAATGTAGATTATATTACTGAAGCATTGACACCCTCCCCCAATGTTAACGTGTTAGCAGTTGTTTGTTGAGGTTTGGTTGTAATCCACACTTTCATTGGTGTGAGAGGAGTGTGTATCCCTAGTGTGTTATTAGATTACCTTTGGGTAGATTGTGTTCCCTAAATACTGACCCCCTCTCCCCCTATGTGTAAGCAGTTGTTTGTTGAGGTTTGGTTGTAAAAGCTGACACCCTCTCCCCCTATGTGTAAGCAGTTGTTTGCTGAGGTTTGGTTGTAAATACTGACCCCCTCTCCCCCCTATATGTAAGCAGTTGTTTGCTGAGGTTTGGTTGTAAATACTGACACCCTCTCCCCCTATGTGTAAGCAGTTGTTTGTTGAGGTTTGGTTGTAAATACTGACCCCCTCTCCCCCCTATATGTAAGCGGTTGTTTGCTGAGGTTTGGTTGTAAATACTGACCCCCTCTCCCCCTATATGTAAGCAGTTGTTTGCTGAGGTATGGTTGTAAATACTGACACCCTCTCCCCTATGTGTAAGCAGTTGTTTGCTGAGGTTTGGTTGTAAGTACTGACACCCTCTCCCCCTATGTGTAAGCAGTTGTTTGCTGAGGTTTGGTTGTAAATACTGACACCCTCTCCCCCTATGTGTAAGCAGTTGTTTG